TGGCAGCAGTGTGTGTGTGTGTGTGTGTGTGTGTGTGTGTGTGTGTGTACGCCCGTGTCTGATGCCCGATCTCTGACTCTCATCTGCAGTTGGTCAGTGGAATCACACAGACACATCATCATGATCATACACATGCTAAAAATACTCCTGACGGAGAACGACGCTCGCCAGCGAACTTTCACAAACACAACACAGACATTTGCCAACTGTGAGAACTGTGACAAATTAAAGGTCTCCATGGAGGACAATCCATTAACCTCATGCTGCACTCTCAGAAAAAAAGGTACAAAAGTTGTCACTGGGGCGGTACCTTTTCAAAAGGCACACCTTTGTACCTAAAGTGTACATATAAGTACCTAAAGTGTACATATTAGTACCTAAAAGGTACAAAAGTGTACCTTTTGAAAAGGTACCGCCCCAGTGACAGCTTTTGTACCTTTTTTTCTGAGAGTGTGGGATAAAATACAGTACAAGACCAGGAGAGGACATGTGTTACAGTGATTTTACCACGGTTAGGGTTAAAGCTGCAAAGTGATATTCCTAGCGTCACCAAATGTGACTGCAAAAATAGTGACCCAAAAATGACTTTACAGCTACTTCAAATATGGTTTAAAATATGTTTTGCATTATTTAAAGTGTTTTTAGAAACTGTAATACAAATTATTTAAGTACACTTAAGTAATCTATAATTTGGTTAATACTACATTGACTGCAAGTAGCGTTTTTTTTTCTCAATATACAATTTTAAATGTACTTTAAAGTATGACTTTTATTTTGACTGTATTTAAAAGTGTGCTTAATTGTGTTGAAAAGTTAAAAGTGTACTTAAGTGTTTTAAAAACAATATGAAAAACTAAGTCAATATAAGTAACATTTTAATTATATTGTCTCCAAGTAGAGTCTTATAAAAAATAAGATTTATATATATATATATAATTAATTTGAATTGATCTAAGTGTGTAAAGAAACAGTCACAAAAACTTAAGTAATGTTTTATTTAATTAATACTATATTGTCTGCAAGTAGTTTAAAATTATGTTTTAAAATGTGCTTTAATGTAAAGCTTTTAATTGTCATTCTTTTAAAAGTGTACTTAAGTATGAAGAAACATAATCATGAAAGCAGTCTTTTTAAGTAAACCAAAGTAACCTTTTATGTCATTAATAGTGTCTACAAGTACAGTTTTATTTTTTAAATATACTTTTTTCTTAGATTTAAAGTACACATTCAATAGAATTAAGTACACTTTATTTGCACATTGTCAGCCTCTTTCTGTGTGTTTTTCTTTTATTTTTATTTATGTTTTATTTTTAAATATGTTTTACTGTCATAAAACCAAAGGTTTTACATAAAAGTACAATTTAAATGGTATATATTTTTAAAACTGTACTTACAGACAATATAATATTAATGAAATAAAATGTTACTTAAGTGTACTTAAAAATAGTGTTTTCATGATTATGTTTCTTAAGTACAATTTTAAATAATCTCAAAGTAAAGGTTTTACATTAAATTACGTTAAATCATTATGTTTTAATGATCTTTTGTCATGCTTTGACAAACATATTAACTGCATTTCAAAATTATGAAATTACATATGAAGATTTGCCTACTTAAGTGGGTCAAAAAACATTTTTATTAGTTGATAAAATTGAAATAATTGCATGATTTAATATATATATATATATGTATATAGTCATAAAACCAAAGGTTTTACATAAAAGTACAATTTAAATGGTATATATTTTTAAAACTGTACTTACAGACAATATAATATTAATGAAATAAAATGTTACTTAAGTGTACTTAAAAATAGTGTTTTCATGATTATGTTTCTTAAGTACAATTTTAAATAATCTCAAAGTAAAGGTTTTACATTAAATTACGTTAAATCATTATGTTTTAATGATCTTTTGTCATGCTTTGACAAACATATTAACTGCATTTCAAAATTATGAAATTACATATGAAGATTTGCCTACTTAAGTAGGTCAAAAAACATTTTTATTAGTTGATAAAATTGAAATAATTGCATGATTTAATATATATATATATATGTATATACATTACATTTAGTTTGCAAGAAGTATATATTTTTTAAGTACATTATTGAGTATGCACTTCTTTTTCACAAAGCTGAGAAACCCTGAACTGAACCTGAGAAAGCCTGCTTTGGTAAGACGTCAACAGAGTTCATGCCGTGTTTTCAGACAGTATTTATTGATCGTGCTGTGTTATTGATCAGCTTTGGGCCGCTGCCGCAGATGCATGACGTGTCATAAACGAGTCGAGAGGCCATTAGTCATGTGAGCTGTTAACATCCAGCTCTCTTCATCTCCTCAACGCTCGTTATCCTCTCGTCTGCGTCTCTCGCTGCTCTCAGAATGAGTCACTTAGACTTCAGAGCATATGATAACGGCTAAACCGACGGGTGACAGTCTGTCACGGGGAAGAACGACAGAAAAAGAAACGTCGAGGATGGAATGGAAATAAATGACAGAAAATGTGTGAAAGACAAATAAGCAGCGTAGGAGGATTGAGATGAATCTCACAAAAACATGTCAAGAACACGTCTAGGTCACACCTAGAGACAAAATCAAAAGGACAAATATAAGAATTATATA